TTGTGTGTAGTTTCACCGAATTAAACCACCGATTGCTATGAATATGACTCATAACATGAGATGAATACATTCACAATGGAGGCTTTACAGGGGTGAGTATGATTATCCACCCCCCTTTTTTTGGGGGGGGGGGGGGCTAGGAAAAACTTTGAGATGCAGATAACCAGCTAACAATTTATAAAAAGTTTTTCAGATTTATATCTCGGTCGCATGACTTGTATGTATCCCCATGGCACTCTTACTCGTATGGAATTTGTCCTAACCTGTATTCAGTTTTTTTTTTAAAGACTGCCTGCAAACATCTATCTTCTTAAGAGCTTTTGGGTCATGCGTATTTATGTTTTAAACGTTCACAGAACCTACACCATGAGGTAGTGAAGCAATGAAATGAACTGACTGCTTGTGTGCAAACCATCAGGTACACCAGTCTTTTCTTTTTCGGTTCGAAACTCTTCATACAAATTATTACCCAGATACAAAGAAAAAAACACTATCCAAGATAGAAAGGGAAGAGTGAATGGATCAATGTTTTCATAAGGGTAAGAAAGATCCTGATATTCTAACAAACTTTGGTTGGCGTGTTCTTTCATGCTGGAGACATAGTGAGTGTTGAGAACCTTGCCCATGTAAGGCCATCGCTGTGGAATGTAAGTATAGCAGATCGTCTGAAGTATAAATGATAAATCTAAAGAACATTGTCTGTTTCATTCGGGTAACAAATCAATATTTCTCTTTCTTTCACTGGTGTTGAGTGTAGTGTTTTTATGTGATGTTATGTCTTGCACTAGTGATCCTTGAAAATTTGGTTTTCATGTCATTTCAAAGTTCTCACTATAACGAATCTTGATAATAACATGTATGAACATTTAGCTGAATGGCATCATGTACCCTAAGTACAAGTTGCGCACACACCCCCCCCCCCCTTCTCCCCTATTTCACTGGTGCCTCCTCATTGGCTGCATCCATTCTACAAAAACACTTTTCTTATTATGATTATACATCATTAATTATTCTCCTCCCTTATTTTCTTTCTCTCCCTCTTTTTTCCTCATCTCTTTCCTTCTTTATTCCCTTTATCCATCTACCCTTTTCTCTCTTTCACCTATCATCAACCATATAATTATCTCTCTCTCTCACTCTCTCTCTCTCACTCTCTCTCTCTCTCTCTCCATCTTTCCGTCTCTCTCTCTCTCTCTCTCTCTCTCTTCCCCTCTATTGCTTTATATATTTCTCTATCTTGCTCTCTCTATTGGTTCCTTTCTCCCCTTTCTTTCTCCCTCTCTCTCCCCCTCTCTTTCACCCTCTGTCTCCCACTCTCCTGCTATTCCCTCTTTTCCGCTACCAACCGTCGATTCCCCCATACCTTCAAAAATAAAGTCAAACCTGCTTTAGTGACCACCTGTCTTCAAAGACCACATTTTTTGTTTCCCTTGAAAATTTTTTCTCATTTAAACATGTACTAATGGAACCTGTCTACGAAGACCACTTTTTGTGTTTCCCTTGAAAATAGTTTCTCATTTAAACATGTACTAAAGGGACCTGTCTACAAAGACCACATTTTTTGTTTCCCTTTAAAATGGTTTCTCATTAAAACGTGTACTAAAGGAACCTGTCTACAAAGACCACTTTTTGTGTTTCCCTTGGGCGGTCGCTATAGACAGGTTTGACTATATTGTAACAAACCTATAACTTTGGAACTTATTTGTCATCCATTTTTTTTCCAAGTTTCTCTAATTTTGAAATCTCTGCTGAAACGCTAAAATGACAACCGTTTATATTTTGAAGACATGTTTCAAGCATAAACCAAATACAACCAATGGAACATTTCTGATGACAAAACAAGAACTATATTCATCTGCTAGGTTTTTACAATTGTTTTTATTCCACATTTGGTAATGTCAAACTGATAAGTCTTTTCAAATATACCCCAAATGAGATGGTAAGACAGTTTACTGTATTCTGGTTAACAAACTGTATATGGATTTCCATTGTTTCCAATAATACTCAGTATAGAGTACCAAAGTGCTAACGTCATATTCGCTTGTCGACCAGGTTACTGGTTCTAAACAACAGTCAGAGCCTGCGCATGAGGTTCACCGTGAAATCATTCAAGCTCCCTGCTGGAGCAGGGCAAATTCAGTGGTTGGGGCTGGTGTGATCACCACACCATTGGTGAACACAACATTGTTTGGAATCACCAATCTTGACAACTAAGCCATTATGACGTCATATTTTGATACTCTATTTTCATGACTGTGTAATATGAATGTCTACTGAAAGATAACAAAACTGTGCAAATCACTACAATGGTAGAGCATGTTCCTTTTTTTATTTATCTACCACACACCAAACATAACAGACAAGAGATAAACTCTTGCAAAAATACAAATTATATTGTACATTCCATAATTGTTTAAACAAAATCTCTTCCCCGAAAGAAACAAAAGGGGAGGGGGGGGAGACAAACACCTTAACTATTTCAATTGGCAAAGGACATTACTCAATGCTAGTTGTATGTGGACTGGGATACCATATACTACAGTGATCTACATATTGTAAGTGAGTGAGATGTAAAAAAATCTATTCCATCAACCTACACAGCAAATATCAAGATATCTTATATAATAATTAATAATCAGCTTGTTTGATATATTATAAATGTATGTATGTATCAACATGTCTCAAAGCAAATAAACAAATCAACAATTTATATGTTACAAGTAATCTGTATAATCCATATGTGATGATCGTGAGCGATGGCAAACTGTGCAGCTTACATGTATAATATCATTCTACTATCTGTTCTATCAAACTACATATCAAAGATTGATATTTCCCATAACATTGTTATGACATCAACAGTGCTGAATCTTTTAAATGATGGGTATTATGTAGCTATGTATATATCATGAGCAAACTCGTAATGTAAACAAACAGAACATTGCAACCTACATAATAATCATATTAATAATTATATACTTGTTGGATACATAATATATAACAACATTTCACATACTTAAACGAAAAATCAACAAACTGAAAGTTACTAATAATGCAGCTACGTACTTATTTCAATGTCATGGCATTTGTCTTGGCAAAAAAGTTACATATCAAAGGTTTGAATGTTTCATACTGAGCGAAATTATAAAACCAACAGTGTTGAATATTACAAATACTGTGTATTATGCTGCTATGTACATATTATGAGCATAGTTTTAATGTTAATATTTGTGGATAGATAACGAGACTTTGCAACTTATTTAATTGTTGTATAAATCATTCCATCAAATGTATAAATGAATACATATGAACATAATATGTTATAGCAAAAAAAAAAAAAAATGATTGTTGCTGAAACTTAATATTATGCAGCTACTCAAATGATGTGAGTACGATAGATGACACAACTCTGTAGCTTATTTTATTATTTTAGCATAGCTTTTATCAAAGTACAAAACAAAGAATTTCGTAGAAAAATGATAAAAATCAACAAATGTTATCTTATCAAATACTGGGTAAATACAAGTTATATACAAGCTATATACAAGTTTACATGTAATGAGCATATTTTTAATGCATATTCTTGCATGATAGGTTACAATGCCATGCAATATAAAGCATATGATTTGTAAGGGTTTGTTAAAAATATTGACAAGACAAAAGGTGTATCAATCAGTTTGTGCTCAGTAGAAGGATTGGTAGAAAGTGTTTTTTCCTGCCATTTAGTTTCTCTACAATCGTCAAAAAAAGGTATATCTTGTATACACATGACCAAAAAACACATATGATATGATTTCTATAGCTATTATTAAAAACGATCAATACATTTGAAACGTTTACACGAATACACCTATACATGTACTTTGAGCAATACAGCTATGTACATGTACCTATAAATGAGCATGTATATATTGTACATGTTGTGTATTGAGATCCATAAGAGCAGTAACTTAAAACATACTCAGAGTTTACTCCCTTCTGGCTTTAAACGGATGATATACATGCAGTCTCTTAACAAATGGTTAAATTATCCTTCATTGTTGTAGTTGAATAAAAATAAAGTGCATGTACATGAAATATATAGATTATCATATCGCTTAATAGCGAACTTTAAAAAGAACAAGGACAAGAAAACTAAATGTAATCTTACAAAATACTTCTTGTAATGCAGCTATTTACATGCACCTATTATATGAATAAGTATGTGCGATGTGAATAGTTTCTTGATAGATAGACAGACTGTGCAATTATTTTTGTTAACAGGATAACATTAATTTTATCCCATTCTAAGTTGACAGGTGACAGATCATATGACATAATGAAGAAGAAGGCTAGAGATAGAAAGGTATTGAACTAAAGAGGGCTCTCCTGTGTGGACTGCCCTTAGCAGAACACTTGAAACAGTCATAAATTTCATTTTCTCTAATGACCTAGATCAACATGTAACAGAGGAATTACAAAAATGTATACATTTGAATCTTCTTTGATCGTGAATAATGCACGAATTAACAGATGTTATAAACTCATGTCAGGTGATGAATCAGTTGACAGATAAGGAACAATGCATCGCATTTTATTGTACATTTTATCAATAGCGTTTTTTTTCTTCTTCCTAAATCCACAATGATTTGAATTCCATTATTTCATCTTCATGTTTTCTCTTGTGTCTTGTAATTTATAAATCATGTCACAAACCTGGCTTAAACCTGAACAAGTTCATTGACCTGGTTATTGTTATTGTAATTGTACTTGTGCAAATTAGTGTATTGCTATACGTTTCTTTAAAAAAAAAAATTGACACAAGTTCAATACCTGACAATACATGATCCTGTATATTATATAATCAGACATGTATAATCTAGGCACATGTTGTAACGCTCATATCGATATATATATATGTTATTAGTTTGATGCTAGTGAAGATAGCAATATCATATGTTCATGTACATACATGTGTATACGTAGTGGACATGGAAAAGTGAAATCAAAGAGGATTCGATTTAGAGGGTGAATCTGTTTTTGAATACGAGAATGTTCTCTCGGCCATCGCTAACAATCAGTTTCCCTGATGACGTCATCACCACGCGAGATGATATAATTTGAGACAGCCTGTCATTCTGTGAGCCCAGACTAGTTGATAGAGGGAAGGATGCTACTCTTACCTTCTTCATGTCACCCCCACTCATCACCTGATCAATCACACACGTCTTGCACTCATCATCTGATGTCACGACGTAGAGGTCGTCTGTCATAGGATCGATGCAGGCTTTCAGGATTACATCACTGTGGGGGATTTCCCTTTGAGCACCCTGCCTGTCGATGATGAACACGCTGTGATCTGGTGGTGAGGGTCGAGCGATGGTGTGACCTGATGATTGTACAGCACGTATCGCCATATTCTCTTTACACGTGATGGTATTCATGATCTTACCATCAGCTGGGTTGATGACGTATATCTTAGACTGACCTCTCTCAGCAGCGATGATCATCCCATCCTGGTCAACAGCTACATACACCAATGCGTAATTACGCGTTGTGTTTCTTGGTATTGTGACGTCATTGATGTGCTTCCATTGTCTGTCATACACACTGATGCATCCAGTCAAACTGTCCCCTGTACACCATTTAATGTATTTACCGCATACTACCTTGTCATCATACAGCATTGCACAGGAGGTAACCCATGATGTATCACTACCGGTTATCACTCTAAGAGTATGTTTAGTGTTTATATTTAACATATATGTATGTCGGCTACCTAATAGTCTATCTGTGGTAATCACTTTGCATTCATCTATGCATCCTACAATGCACGGGACTGTGATTTTAACACTGACATTGATTGTATCAATGAGCTTCCATTCCCCATCATACCCATCAATCCTCCCATCATACTTCTCTCTCCCAGCACCCTTCACAAACCTCACACCCGATATGATACCAGTGATTTGTTTCACCTCACCCTCATTCAGTGGCTTCTTTACTTCATCACTCACTGATGTATTTACATGATGCCCATCTTTGACAATATTTGTATCATCTTCGAGTACTTTGTCAAGTGTCTTTATTATATTCTCTGTGGTTTTTGTGTCATCTTGCCATGCAATCTCCAACTCACCAATCTTTCTCTCTTTCTCTTCAGCGATGTTTTGAATGTCTGTTTGAAGACCATGCTGTTTTTTGTCGATGGGTTTTCGTCTTTTCTCTGCATTTGTACGGTTGAGTTCAAGTAGTTTTTCTCTCTCCTCATCGTTCTTTCCAATCTTTTCGTTGACTTTCAGAATCTCCTCTTGAAGTTGTTGATTCTTCTCATCAATCTCCTGGTTGATTTTTGCAGCATCTTCCTTCTCTTTGTCTTTGTCAGTTTGGATCGCCTCATTGAATACAGAATCAACTTCATCTTTCAGAGCTTTTAGATGGGTGTTGGTGTCTGTCTTACACTGGCGAATCTGATCTCCATAAACTCGACAAAGCTTTAATTTGTCCTTTACCTTTTCTTTTAGAGTCATTAGTCTCGCTGTACTTTCCTTGATCACGCCCTCTATATCCTGTCGCACGCAACACTGATCATGATGATCTATATGTGCGCATGAATAACACAGTGCTAGGCGATGTGTTTTGCAATACAGTTTGATTTCTTCATCATGCTTCTCACAATAAAGATTGGACCCACATTTTCTTGCTTTTTTGACGCATCCCCCTTTGGAGGCGCAATCATCGCACAGCCTCCTCTTTTCCTTCACGTAGTACGTCACATCTGTGATTGCCTCACAGTTCTCTCCTTCACAGATGTCTTCTGCAGAGCTGAAGTTCGCCGCCATACTAATCGGAGTATTGACCTGTAGAATGAACAATTTATCAAGAGAGATGAGATAGAGAGAGAGAGAGAGAGAGAGGAAAAAAAAAGAGGGATAGAGAGAGAGAGAGAGAGAGGTGGAAGGGTTAGGATGGATGGGGAAGGGAAATACAGAGGGGGAGGCCCGGCGGGAAGGGATATAGAGGGACAGAGGAATGAAGGAGAGAGAAAGAGGGAGGAATGGAGAGACCGAGCGAGAGGAAGAGAATATAATAAATTTATTACAATGACCTCCATTTATAGTAAGATTTACTTAGGCCTATGCACATTTAAAATCAAAATAATATTAATGGTAGACAGTGTACTTCCTTCGGTGAAATTGCTTTGAAATTGATATAAAAACGTCACCTACAACTTTTTTCCATTCATTTATCCAAACAATTGTATGATCTTGAATCTGCAACGACCAATATACAAATTTAAAGTTAACAAATGCACTGAGAGCAAATCATATGGAATTTAAGTGATATTGATAGTTTCTTTCAGGCTTAAGTGTCTATCATGTGAATATATTGAACATGCTTGTCGGCACATTTTCGTGTGAGAGTCGTGTTAGGGCCTCTCGCCTGAAAATATACTATCCGGATCCCAAATATGGCGAGTAAGGCGAAACAATATAATTCAGTCATCTCGCTGCCAGGAATCATCCTGATTTATCAGTTTGCGTGAAGTAAAGCAAACGAGGGGTAAACAAAAAAAAACTTTGTTAAGATGTTAAGACAAATGTGACCCACCTCACATGCAGATTTTGATCAATTCTTTGAAAACCAAAATCAGACAGTACAGCTCACCTTATTGACCGATTTCTTGCGATTTTAACCTTTGTAATGTGATGTCTCTGACAAAGAAAGTTGTTCATCTAGATGCTCCTTTTATAATTGATACAGTCTGAAGGAGAACAAATATTTTTAAAACCCTTTTTTAAGATGTATATTAGGTGCGAATCAAGATGGCGTATAGTTGTATGCCATCCCACGTCAAACTGATGCTCACTTAGCAAACATTTGCACACACATTTATCGGCATTTTGTTTACTCATGCATGCATACAGTGCATGAATATGGCAAGTAAAGAAACAAGTAATTGTCCAAATACACACTGTATGAGCGTTGACAAAAGATATGCTCCGTTGCTCTTTGTGAATAGATTAATATGAATATGAATCATAAAAAGTTTAAAAAAGATAAATGCATTCACATTCCTCGTGATCTCAATATGGGGGGGGGGGGGGCAGAATGCTAATCCACCACCCCCCCCCCATACACACAAAAAAAAGGAAGAACTAGCAGATAAGCAGCTGTAGCTAGACAAAGTTTTTCAGACTTATATATCGGTCACATGACTTTGTATCACTATTCTATCTTAGGTAGAAGGAATGAAGTCATTAGATCAATGTCTTCAAAAGGGGAATATCATGAAACTTTAAACAAACTGCTGAAGACAAAGTGACAGGAGAGAATCTGGATCATAATCTAAAGTACAGTATCTTTTTGATTCAGCTACAAATTTGAGCTTAATGGCATGTACCCTAAGTGCCTATTGCGCCCCCTCTCTTTTCTCCCTCATTTCACTGGTGCCCCCTCATTAGCTTGACCAATGGTACTTATCTGTTATTAGTTTTCCTTTGACTTTTTTTCTCCCCTTCTCTCTTTCCTTCTATATCCACTTTCTCATCTCCTCCTTCTCTCTCTCCTTCTGCTTCTTTTTTTTTCTCTATTCATTCCTTTCTTCCCCATTTTCTCCCTCCTTCCCTCTTTCTCTCCCTCTCTCTCCCTCCTTCTTCCCCTCTCTCTCTCTCTTCTGCGCTATCTCCCACGTATCGCTTTCTTTCACAATATCCTTTTTAATACACCTCTCCCCGTTACAAATATTGCCACAAACCAACAACATGAAATTTCTTTTCCATCGAATTTTCTTTCCTAGTGTATATGTTTCTTTGTTTCAAGTCACCATATCAAAATCAAAAATTCATCACAATATTTGTTTTCCATCCCTCGTACACGTAAACGTATAGGCACATTTTCGTGTGAAAGCCTCGCACCCGAAAAATATACTTTCTAGATTCCAAATATCGTGAGCAAGCGATTAAAACATGCTATTCACTCATCTCGTTGCCAGGATTCCTTTTGATTTTGACCAATTTTGCGAGAAGTAAAGCATACAAGTGGAAAAGGCAGTTTGTTATAGCATAAATTTCATTTCTTTATAGAATACAATGAATTAAGTTATATTCGGGTGCTACCCGAATACAGAAGAAGATAACGATCACATTTCTTTTCATGTAATCTATCCGAAAATGTTAAATATGAGTGGATTTATACTATGAATTCTCATCTTTCTTCCTCCAGATATTAAGACAAACATACCCAATCCCACACGCACACACCTGTTTCTCCTTTTATTGTTTAATTACTTATTTTGTTCATCCACTTAATCCTTTTAGGACACCGAACTTGTTCACAGCAGAATGACCTACATACAATGTACAGCTTACCTTAATTACCGGTGTTTTGCGATATTATCCTTTGTGAAGTCAGAAAGAAAGTTGTTCATCTAGATGCTCCTTTTATAATTGATACTGTCTCAAAAAGAGCAATTCATCTAACCTCCTGTGATAGGTGTATTAGGTGCAAATCAAGACGGTGTCTAGTTGTGTGCCATCCCATGTCAAACTAATGCTCGCTTGACAAAAATTCGCCCACAAATGTATGGCATTTTTCACTCATGCATGCATGCATACAGTGCGATAATATGGCAAGAAGAGAGAGAAAAAAAGTAATTGTCCCCCAAACACACAATGTATTTCAGTTCGAAACCCTTCATACAAATTATTACCCAGATGCAAAGAAAAAAACACTATCCAAGGTAGAAAGGGAAGAGTAAATAGATCAATGTTTTTATAAGGGTAAGAAAGATCCTGAAAGCATAACAAACTGGTTTGGTGAATCAATCTTTCTCTTTCTTTCACTGGCGTTGTGTGTAGTGTTTTTATGTGATTTCATGTCTTGCACTAGTGTTCCTTGAGTATTCGGTTTTCAAGTCAAGTTCTCACTATAACGAATCTTGATAATTACATGTATGATCATTTAGCTGAATGGCATGTACCCAAGTACATGTTGCGCACCCCCTTTCCTTCTCCCCCTTTTCACTGTTGCCTTCTCATTGGCTGCATCCATTCTACATAAACACTGTTCTTATTATGATTATTCATCTTTAACTCCCCCCTGTCTTCATGTCTCTTTCCTTCTCTATCCCCTTTATCCCTCTACCCTTTTCTATATTTTACTTATCATCACCAATCTCTCTCTTTCCATCTTTTCCTCTCTCTCTCCTCCCCCTCTATTGCTTTATCTATTTCTCCTTCTCTCTCTCTCAATCTCTCCCTCTCTCTTCCCCATCTCTTTCTCTCTTCATCTCTCTCTCTCTCTCTCTCTCTCGTAGTTCCTTTCTCTCCTTCTTTCCCCCTCTCTCTGCTATTCACTTCTTTCCCGATATCAACCGTCGATTCCCCCAACCCTTTAACAATATTGTACCAAACCCATAACTTTGAAACTTATTTTTCATTCAATTTCTCTTCCAAGTGTCTTTATATTTTTAATCTCTGCTGAATAGCTAAAATGACGACCATTTAGATGTTTACGACATGTTTCAAGCATAAAGCCAATTTGCAAATGACAAAGATGTTTATTACCAATGGTAAATTGCTTGATGACTTCACAATACAAGAAGTATATTCATCTGCTAAGTTTTCACAATTTTTACAATTTGTTTTATTCCACATTTGGTAATGTCAAACTGATTAAGTCTTTTCAAATAACCCCAAAATGAGATGTCAAGGCAAACATGTGAAAAGGTGTTGTTATTTTGTTCACAAAAACATTTGTACACGATCATTTCGGTTTACTGTATTCTGGGTAAAGATTGACAGCGCCTTTTCATAATCATCTTTTAAATATGGATTTCCATTGTTTCCAATAGTACTCAGTAAAGAATACCGAATTGCTTACGTCATATTCGCTTGTCGTGAAGTTACCGATTCTAAACAACAGTCAGAGCATGCGCATGAGGTTCAACGTGAAATCATTCGAGCTTCCTGCTGGAGCAGGGCAAATTCAGTGTTTGGTGCTTGGGTGATCACCACACCACTGTTGAGCACAACATTGTTTCGAACCAGAAACCTTGACAACTTAGCCATTATGACGTCATACTTTAATACTCTGTGCTACAGCTATTTTCATGACTGTGTAATATCGATGGCCATGGTCTCCTGATAGATAACACAACTGTGTAACTTTTTTCATTGTATAGCATGTTCATTTGAATTAATCTTCTACACATCAAAATAATTATAACAAACAAAATATACAAAATAAACAAACAAGAAATAAACTCAAGCAATAATACACAATTTGTATTGTAGGCCTATATTCCACGGAATAACAGAAAACTACTCATCCCCTATAGAAGACAAAAAGATGAAGGAAAATAATACACAATAAATCAAACAAAACAATTAAACTGACTAAGGAGATTTAGTTATTACAAGTAGTTTCACAGGGATTTGAATAAAGTATAATGCAGACATCTACATATCGTGTGTGAGTGAGATGGAAAACACCGTGTAATTTGTCATTATTTTAGCATCTCTTCTATCAAAATATGGCAAAGATGAATATTTCTCATAGCAAAATTATAAAACAAAAGGTCTTGCGAATACTGGGTATTACAAAGCTATGTACATATCATGAGTTAACTTCCAATGTAAATACTTCTTGATATAAACCGAGTCTTTGCAACGTATTTAATTGCTATATTATTCATTCTATCAAACAAACTTGTCGAAAAACGTATAGTTACAGGAAACACAACAAAAATGTGCAATTTAAAAATCAACAAGGTTATTTTTACAAAAAATGGGTATCATGCAGTTATACAAACATAATCATGAGCATACTTTTCATGTGAATAATTTCTTGATAGTTAAGGAGACTATGCAACCTTTATAATTGTTATATTATTTAATCTATCAAATATGCTTGTAGGATCATAGATATTAACAAGTTACATAGCAAAATGGTAAATCAACAAATTGAATGTTACACAAATTTAGTGTAAAGCAGTTATATACATGTCATAAGTTGGATAATAAAAAAAGCATGTGGATTTGTTTTCCTTTTATTTCTCTTATCCTCAAGCGAGGTTTTAATTTACATAAATTCAATAAATATTTATATTAATAACTAAATGAATGAGTTAAACATAACATAGGCTAACAATTAAAGTATATTTAATAACTCTTCCAGCTTAGTACTATTTTAGTATTATTTTATTGTTAGACCATCTCTGCAGTCAAACTCCTAATCAAAGATTGACATATGTTATAGAAAAACATTTAACCAACAAAGTTCAAACTTACAAATACTGGGTATTAAGCTGCTATGTACATATCATGAGCATACCTGAAGCGTAAATCATTTCCTTATATATAACGAGACTTTGGAACCTGTTTCATTGTTCCACAACATTTATTTGTTCTCATGAATATAATTCTTTGATACATATATCAACTTTTCTCATAGCAAAATGAAAAATCAGCAAAACCGAATGATGCAACAACTTTGTTTATACAGCTATTTACATGTTGAGAGTGTGTTAGGAAACAAGATTGCAACTCATTCCAATGTTATATCGTTTGTCCTGGCAAAAGATTACAAATCAAGGATTTAACTGTCTCATACCAAAGTTTTTAAAAAAAACGTGTAAATCTTACAAATACTGGGTATTTTGCTGCTTTATACCATTCAAAAAATGATAATATATTTGTTTTCTTAATTGTAAATTTAATTGTTATTTTATTCATTCTATGACATATATTTTTTGA